AAGCAAAGATAGCACATGGAGCCAGGTATTTGAAAGAAAGGAAGGGGAGGTGATGAGAGGTAAGGAAGAAATCTAAAGAAGCGGAAAAAACACCAGCTGCCAACAAAAGGCACTTAGGGAGCCAGCCAGTGCGGGCAGGAGGAATCCAAGTGAGACCGGGGTGCTTCCCGGCCAAGAGACTGTGGCTGCAGGAAGCAGAGGAGGTTAAGTGGGAGTGAAGAAGGGTGGGGGGTGGGAAAGCCTATATCACTGATTACCAGTTGTTCTGTCTCCTGCTGGAAGCTCCGTGAAGCTGCTTTCTCATACCCCCTGTTCACTGATCTCCGACAGGAGTCCAAAATGGCGGATCCATGCGGCGTAGCTAATGGGGGACCTCTGCATGAATCTCTCCGCGCTAGTTTTTCTGATCTTTGCTGCAGAGGGATGGTGTGGTGCTTCTGACTATAGCACCATGTTGCCTGGAAGTCTGTCTTTCGTTGTTTTTTATGGTGAATTTTGTTTTAAAGTCTATTTTATCTGAGAATAGTATTGTCGTTTCTGCTCTTTTTTGGTCACTGTGTGCTTGATATCTTATTTTCTATCCTTTGATTTTTAATATATTTATGTGTTTGTTTCTAAGGTGTATTTCTTGTGGACAGCGTATTGATAGGTCCTATGTTTTTGCCTATTCTGTCACTCTCCGTCTCTTTATGGGTGCGTTTAAGCCATTTACGTTCAATGTTTTTATTGATAGGTGTGAATTTATTGTTGTCATTTTGTAGTGGTTGTTTTTGGTTGTTTTGCTGATGTTTTCTTCGTTCTTCTTACTTTTCTGTGCTGAGTTTCTTTTGTTTGTGCTTTTTTTTTCTTTTGTTTTTATAGATTTTGTGTTTACTAACACTTTTGTTTTTCTTCTTTATTTTGATGAGTAGGTTTGTTGACTTTCTTGTGGTTACCTTGAAATTTATCTCTGTCTTCCTAAGTTTAAACCAGTCTTTTATACTTGATACTGCCTTGGCTTCATCTCCTTTTGAAAGTTCTGTAACTACGCCATTTATTCCCTCTTTTGTTGTTCTGATGTTGTCATCATTTACAGATTGACTTCTCTAGTTCCACTGTAAATGTTTGAGTTTTGTTTTATCCTTGAGAGTTCATTATTTAGGTTGATATCTGGCTGATGTTGGTTTCTGTTCTAGATTCACGTTGTTGTCCAATGTTGTTGGTTATCTTTAATTGAAGGACTCCCTTTAATAATTCTTGTAAGTTTGTGGTTTGGTTTTTACATATTCCCTTAATTTGTGTTCATCTGGAAATGTCCTCATTTCACCATCATATTTGAGCAAAAGTTTTGCAGAATATATTATTCTTGGTTGGCAGTTTTTTCTTTTAAGATTTTATATATATCATCACATTGCCTTCTTGCTTGCATGGTTTCTGCAGAATAATCAGAGCTTAGTCTTACTTTCCCTCCCTTTGTATGTGACTAGAAATGAAGTTTTGTTGCATGCCTCAGTATGAATGGAGCTTGAAGACATGCTCAGCTAAATAATCACAGAAGGACAGAGATTCTATGATCTCACTTATATAAACAAAAACAAGAAAAAGCAAATAAATAGAGCCCAAAGTTTATTAGTGATTACCAGGGGCAGGAGGCAGGGGGAAAGACAGGGTTACCAGTGCTGGAAAACTCACATTTATTAAGGATACAGTTGTACAGCTGATTATTGTAATTGCTGTCAAGAAGTTGTACAGCTTAAAAAGTTGAATTGGCAAAACTGGTGTGATCGATATATTTACAACTATGACAAAAAGCATTTAAGTGCTGAGGCTGCTTATGTGCAGCCAAAAACATCATAGGATTTGGTTCCTTGGTTTGGACATTTCATGGGACATCCCAGTTAATTGGCTTAATAACATGTTCAGTGCTTCTGTTCTACCTCCTAGTTTATTGTGTAGTGCCTGGGGTGTTAAAAGCTTGCAGGCGCTAAAAGCTTGCAAGCGCCCATCCAAGGTACGGCAATTGGTCTCTATTTGCCTGGAGCAACAGAGGAAGAAGGAGAGTCAGGAGTAGGAGGAGGGTATGGGATGTTTGGCTAATTGCCTCCATGAAACAACTGCTACCTTTGCCATGAGACCAGAAGAACTGCATGGTGCCTGGCTACTGTTGGTGAACATTTTGATCAAGGATTCTACAGGAGAATCCTGATCAGAAGAGGAAAATACAGAACAAAATTTCAAATTCACATGAACTCTAGACTTTCTGGAGCCATGGGGGCTGGATGAACCCCTGAAACTATTGCCCTGAGATAACCTTTAAACCTTAAACCAAAAATATCCCCTGAAGTCATCTTGAAACCAAACAGTAGTTTAGCTTAACGAGTAAAAAATGCTTGCCTTGAGCATTATGCTCTTTTAAGAACAATTTGTAAGGTATCAAAGTGACAACAACTTGATAGTTTACATAGGAACCTTAGGGGGCAGTGAATTTATGTTAATGGGAGAGGAACAACTCAGAAAAGGGGGTGAGAATGGTTGTACAACTCAAAGAATGTAATTAGTGTCACTGAATTGGACGCGTAGAAACTGTCGAATTGGTGTATGTTTTGCTATGTATATTAACAAGAAAGCGTATAAAGTAAAAGCAAAATCCTATGGGACAGTTCTGCTTTGTCACGTGAGGTTGCTGTGAGTGGAATCTACTTGATGGTACCCAGCAACGACAATACAACTTTACTCCCATCCACCTCCTTTGTGCTGTTATTGTTGAATATATTACATTTCTGTATGAAATAGGCTCAACAGTGTCTGCGGATGGATATTCCAGTGCTTTTGGTTCCACAGGTCTTTTTGATCTGTTGTTATTAAAATAGTTGTAACACTTGAACCTAGGGACCATTGGGCTAATCTCTATTTGCAACCTTGTTTCCTAACAATAACAGATTTGGGCATCCCTTGGAGCTCCTAGCTCAGCAGAGCTAACCAGAAAGGAAAGGGGAATGTTTGAATTAGGGATCAGGAGGGATTGAGTTTTTTTTTTTTTTTTTTTAATTTATGTCCATGTGATTACAATGTAAAGTGTATTTATATTTAGTGAGTTGATGCTCTAAGTTATTACTGAAATCATTGAGCAACATAGAATTCTGTTTATTAAATATAATATTAACCACCACCACCCCAGAACATCTATTGTTACCAGATTGTCAAGGTGGAGAAAGTGGGGACTGATGGACACAGTGGGTGGTATAGTGATGTTGGAGTCAGTCTTCCTTGGGTTCAAATTCCCATTTCTGCTTTTCTGCTTACCAGCCTTAAGTTAAAATTAGAGCCTCGGTTTACACCTTCATTACATTATTCAGTCACTGACATCTGAATCACTTTCCAAGAATTGGTGTAAACAGAATTCTTACGTATTGAAACATTTTTTTATTAAAGTTTTATGCTGTTTATTTTAGGATTATTGTTTGTCTAGTTTTATATATCATTGTGTGTTTAATTAGTGAAAACTCTAAATTGGAAAAGTGAAACAAAATAAGAAACTGCATTGTTGCCTTTAAGGAAGTTATGGGTGATAGGCTGTTTGTGGAATGACTGTATGGTATAATGCAACTTTTGAGTACATAATTTTGGAGTCTTTTGCTTTAAACAATCCTCTTGTAATATACTTTTTGTTTCAGTGTGATTTGTGAGATTGGTGGTTTTCAGTCTCTTTTTTTTTTTTTTTAAACTCCCAGTATGCATATTTGAGGGACTGTGACTCTCATCAAAGAAAGGGCTGGGTTCAGTAGTGATTATCTTGTAGAAAGAGGGTCATGACTAACCTCCCAATGAGTGTGAATATAACCAACTGCCCCCAAAGTCACTGGCTTAGTATGTACTTTAACTGTATGTGCCATAATCAAAAGATTAAAATTTAATTAATTTTTATTGTTTATCAAGTGTTTATGAAATTGTGCTGTGTAACCTCTTTTAGAGAGCCCTGGGTAAAGCAAAAGGTTAAGTGCTCAACTACTAACTGAAAGGTTGGCAATTCAAACCTACCCAGAGGTGCCTTGGAAGAAAGGCCTGGCAATCTGCTTCTGAGAGGTCACATCCTTGAAAACCCTATGGAGCACAGTTCTACTCTGCAACACATGGGATTGCCATGAGTTGGAATCAACCTGATGGCAGTCTTCTTTTTTTTTTTTTTTAATTCTTTTAGTTTATCTAAACCCAGTTATGGAATTCAAATCATCCTTTGCTCATGACCATAGCCTAGCCACGTGAAATTACAGCCACTCTTGGAGTGGTGCTGATGCCTGGCCTCACTTAGGGTAGGCACTGAATGAATACTGAGCACTGCTATAATGTTATTTTAAACTACTTTGTTTCTAGAGAGTATTTGTGATCTTGAGGTACCTCTATTCCACATTTATTCCACATCATCTGTTCCACACTGTCTATTCCACATCATCTATCCCACATCTGTTCCACCCCTGTTCTACCCCATTCCACGTCTATTCTGCATCTGTTCTATATTTTTCCTCAATTTAAGATTTTTCACAAATTAGTTTTTTAAATTAACATATGAAGTTCATCATTGGTATAAAATAAGTTCTACAAGTAAGTTAGTCTAATATATGGTCTTTTATTTCTTAAACAGAGACTCTACAGGGGCAGGTAATTCACTGGTCCACAAGCGGTCTCCTTTACGTCGAAACCAAAAGGCCCCAACATCCTTGACCAAGCTGTCTTTACAGGATGGACATAAAGCCAAAAAGCCAGCATGTAAATTTGAAGAGGGTCAGGATGTCCTAGCTAGATGGTCAGATGGCTTGTTTTATCTTGGAACTATCAAAAAGGCAAGTTTCCTTAACATAAGATGTCTTTTTCTATGTTTGTAGTAAACTTTTAGTAATCTTAAGCGTTTAAATTTAACTTAATGTTTTTCATTTTAAAAAAGATCATGATAAATATTCCTCTGTATTACAGATAAACATATTGAAACAGAGCTGTTTCATCATATTTGAAGATAGTTCTAAATCCTGGGTTCTCTGGAAGGACATTCAAACAGGCAGGTGCTACTATTTCTCTTGAACGTGATTTATACTAAGATTTGATTTTCTTCAACTTGTCGTTATTCTAGTGTTATCTGTTGAATACATTATATTAAGATAATATATCACATTTGAGGGGAGGTCAAAAAAATAATCAACATTCTTTATAGTTTTCAAGAGTTAAACTCTATATAGTAGACTATAAGAAGACCAAAAATACTGTTAGAGGTAGACTAGAGGACAGATCCATCACTGACTCACAAATATAAACCATTGGTAGATAAAATCTGACCCTTCTAAGACCTTTGAGAAAAATTCCTAACTCCTAATATGAGTAACAATTTGGGATTCAGTTTAACTGTTACCTGCTAACTTAGTACAGAGCAATGCAGAAAGCTAATATTTATTGAGAACATACTGTTTGCCAGATGCTTTGGGGCATTAGGATATACTAAACCAGTTTAGAATACTAGAAATATTAATAAGAATGGTTTAAAATTACTGTTTAATTATGGTTTTTTATGTTTAGATGGGAAAATGAGGCTATATTTGGGTGCAAGTAAAAATGAATACAGGTATGCCTTGGTTTGGTTATAGGTACGTTTCTTGTAATGATTTCAGTTATTAAATATAATTGCTGTATGTGCTTTGAATTTACTAAATATAGGTGTTTTTCCAGGTATATCTTTCATGGAAAGTGCTTTATTTATTAAAAAAGATGAGTCATTATTAATAATTTGGGCACTTTAGTTTCTTAATAAAGCCCAACTTTTGGTTTTCCTTTTGTTAGGTTAATAGGCCTGTTCTAAGACTATGTTTTGTGTCTCCTCTGGTAGAAAGGAGACATAAACTTTCTTTTCTTAAAGGATAGGTACCTTTCTAAAGTATTTAGCTATTGGATCCTTTATTTGAATCCCAGGTGCAACTTTATGGTAGATCACCTGCTGTGTTCAATTTCTTGGTTTTCCTCCAAATTTTTCTCAAAGAATGAAAAAAGGTTTTAGAGTGCAGTTCTCTGAAATGTATGGGGTCACCATGAGTTGAAATTTACAACAACTGGTTTGCTTTTTGGGTTTGGTAAAGGAATTGGAATGTTCTAATTACCATCTATATATTGATACTTGGGGCTTAGGCGGGGGACTCAGTAGCTGTTTCTCTAGTATGTCTTTCCAGAAAAACTTTGTATAGATCTTGAAACTGATCAGTTTAAAGGACTAAGGATATGTTTTGAATCTGATATTGAGGTGTCAGTGAGAAAAGTTTGAGCTGTGAGACTGAAAGGGATAGACGGTCTCCCAACAGTGATAATATTGAGCGGATCGTAGTACCCTGTGTACAGAGTTATTCCTTCTTCTTAATCTTGTGAATATAGATTCCCCCCCCCCCCGCCCCCAGTTTAAAAGTGACAGAAAGGAAGAAAAAACCCAATGATACATAGAGATAGAAAGTTATACAAGTGAGGGCTCCTGTCCAGCCTGTGTTCTAGTATATCAGTTTGGTGGTCTGTGGTGGTTCTTTCATCACTGGCTCCTTTTACTATCCCTAGAATTACAAAGGATTACTCCTTTGCCGTTTAACTCTTCGTAGCCCACAGAGAACAGCACCCATGAAACTTGGAGTTGAAATGAGCAAGTGAACAGTCTCCACTAGCCTTTAAGACATGGTACCTGAAAACTGCATTAGGCAGATGTCATTGTGCAGAGTAGCTTTAGTAGTTTTCTTCCCTGTAAGAAGTCTGTTAATAATAGATATATATTAAAAAAGTAATAAATTAGCTTAACTTTGCTTATCTCATAAGATTCTGTTAAAAGGTTTACATAAATAAGGATAGTATTTGATAGTAGTCAAATATGCATTATAGCAGGAAAACATCATGTTAAGACTATTAAATAAGTTAAAAAGATTTTTAGCACCTAACGCTACTGTGGTTTCTGTGAAAATGATACACTTGAACACCTGGTAGCAGTGTAAATTTCTGTTTTATTACTTTAGCATTTGCATTAAATGCATGAAAATATTTATAGTTTTTATTTTACCCAGAGGCTCACTTCTAGCAGTTTATTTGAAAGAAAAAAAAATCAAAAGTTAAAAAAAGTTAGATGAAAGTGTTTGTTCTAGCTTTATTTTAAAAACAATAAAATTTAGTATTTCCAGGGTAAAATGGTCAGGACTTTATAGTCAATTGAATTTAGACTTAAAGGAGAGGGCCACTAAATTACACCAGAAAATTCTTGAAATCTGATGACAGAACAGCTGTACTTAGATTTCACAAGTAAAGATAATTCCCATTTCCCTCAGGATTATTTCCTGAGGTGAACATGTGTTTGTTGGGTCAGCATCCCCTTTTCGGGGGAACTGCCTTCCCCTTCGTGGATACAGTGGGAGTCAAGTCAGGCAGTTAACCCAAGCTGAGGCCATCAGTTCCTTTTCAGAGAACTGCAGATTTGAGCTGAGATGATCTAAACTCAGTTTGCCCACTCTCCTGACTGGAGCCATAAACCCTGAAGCTTTGGGGAGGGCATGTCCTGCCAGGTGCACCAGGAAGTAGATGAGGCCTGGAAGAGGAGGGGAGAGAGAACAAGATACCAAGACAAACAAGCAAAAACCAACCAACCAACCAACAAAAACCCCAGTGTGGAAACTTGCATGTCAAAGAATAGAGAAATAACATAGTAAATTTGGTTCTGTTCACTGGATGGAATATTATACTGCTGTGAGAAGTTATAATTTTGAAAACTGGCAGTGTGAAAAGTGCTTTTGATAGAAGAAATATTACATAGTATTGATGATATGCAGTGTCTTGTCATGTCCAGGAGGGGCATGGACTCTGGCCTATCTGGGTTTGAATGCTAACCTTGATACTTTCTGGCTGAGGGTTTTTAGTTTAGTTACTTTACTTTTCTGAGCCTCATTTCTTCTCTATAAATAGGATATTTACCAGTAAGTTAGTTGAAAAATTATATAAAATTATATATGTAATGAGCCTATGACATTTTTAATTATTGTTGGTATGTAAGTAAAGCATGTGGATTATGATTATAACTATATATATTGAGGTAGACCAGGAGAGAATACTGGAAATGATAGTTGTGTTAGGGTGATAAAATCATATTTTAGATTTTATGTAATTTCTTTTTAGAATAAAAAAGTTTAAGGAAATGATTTACCTATTCAGGTAAAAAATATGATTAATAACTTTGGAACCCCCAAATTTTGTTACAGTGGGATTTTGTTAGGATACGTTATTAGACACCGTATTCCAAAATTTCAGAAGCTGAAAATTAAATAATTGATGTTCAGACTCTTTCATAAATTCGTAAATAAAAAGAAATCTCTGAATCCAAAGAGAAAGGGGGCATTTACATATCTTCGTTGCCCCTTTTCCTTAGTTTCTTCATTATAGTGGGGTAGGGTGAGTGTATGTATATACATGGATCTATGTGTGTTCCGGGGAGCAGCTCTAGTATTCACAAGAGCTTTTCCCCACTCCTCTAGGAGAGTGGGAATATTAGAAATGAAGAATAAGGGAAGCCACCTGAGGTAAATTTAAATTATGTCCTCTGCTTAAAAGCAGATTAAATTATGAATGTAGATAGTAAGGCATCTTAAGTTAAAGGTGGGAAGAAAACAGGGACTAGAGAAATAGAATTATACGTATAGTACTCTTTCTTGAAGGAGCCCTGGTGGAGCAGTGGTTAAGTGCTCAGCTGCTAACCAAAAGATTGGCGATTTGAACTCACTGGCCGCTCCCTGGGAGAAAGATATGGCAGTCTGCTTTTGTAAAGATTACAGCCTTGGAAACCCTATAGGTTAGTTCTACTCTGTCCAATAGCGTCACTGTGAGTCAGAATTGACTTGATGGCAGTGGGTTTTTTGGTTTACTCTGCCTTAAGAAATTATTGTGATCTAGTGAACAAATATTGTCAATATGGGCTACCCACTGAGTCATAAAAGTAGTTTTGTTATATGGAACTCTTCTTAATTATGACTGTCTTTTTAAAAAATGTATTGCTTTAAATATTTCAGGAGCCACTGGAAGTGGGGAAATGGTCTGTACAATATGTCAAGAAGAGTATTCAGAAGCTCCCAATGAAATGGTTATATGTGATAAGTGTGGCCAAGGTAAACATTGATTTCTTTTAATCTCTTGGAAAAGGTTTGTTACATACTTAATGCTCCTGTTGAAGATTAACAACAAAAAAATACTTTATGTTGGTAATTTGAAGCAATTACCCTATTTCTTTTTTTTTTTTGTATCATTGTAATTAATGTAGGAAAAGAGAATACTAAAATGCGTTCTTGAAATTGTGTTGCAGTGTTTATGAATAAAATAGAATTGCTTTGTGCTTTTTTTGATATTAAGGATATCATCAATTGTGTCACACACCTCATATTGATTCCAGTGTGATTGATTCAGATGAAAAATGGCTCTGTCGACAGTGTGTTTTTGCAACAACAACAAAGGTATCTTTTAAGTGTTTGGGCTAAAGCCCTAAGTGGAATTTGTAAGGCAGTTTCAATACTTAATGCTTTTGTATATTGAAAGCTCATTTGAATGAAATGAGCAATCAGTGCTGGGTAGAAAGAGGTACTGTTTATTGTTTGACTAATGATGCTTAAGTGACAACTATTCTTGCTCTTATTTTATGATAGTGGTTTTAGAATTGGGACAGTAATTTGAAAGAAAAGTCAACAAAATAAAGATTATTATTAATCAAATAATTTGTGATATAGAAATTTAGAATGGAAATGTCTTCAGAAACGTTAAAGAAATTTTTAAGTTATAGCATTGTATTTAAAATTTTAGCCTTCACTCTTTTCAAAAATTTTTTTCTGTCTAATATAGAGGGGTGGTGCACTTAAGAAAGGACCAAATGCCAAAGCATTGCAAGTCATGAAGCAGACATTACCCTATAGTGTGGCAGACCTTGAATGGGATGCAGGTCATAAAACCAATGTTCAGCAGTGTTACTGCTATTGTGGAGGCCCTGGAGAGTAAGTAAATACAATTATTTAATGTTTTTTAAATAAATTTTATTTTCTTACATTGTTTATTTTTTTTATTGATTGTGGTGAGAGTGTTGGTGAAGTGTAAATGCATAAAACCATCAGTAAAGAAAATAAGCGGGAATAATTTTACCATCATTTTTCACCCCCTCCCCCCAAAAATTCTCATCTAGTTTTTTATCATATCCATATATTTTAAAAATCGCATTGTAATAAGTCTGGTTATTCTGAAAACTGACAGTGAATTGTAAATATTTGTATACCTCATAAAATAAACTATGTTGTTGTTGTTAGGTGCTGTTGAGTTGATTTTGACTCAGCGACTCCATGTGAAAGAGTATAACTGCCCCATAGGGTTTTCTAGGTTGTAATCTTGACAGGAGCAGATCGCCAGGTCTTTCTTCCATGGAGCCACTGGGTGGATTTGAGCCAACAACCTTTAGGTTAACAGCCAAGCACTTTACCGTTGAGCCACCAGGGCTCCTTAAACTATAAGTCAAAAAAACAAAAACAAAAAAACCAAACCCGTTGGCTGTCAAGTTGATTACAACTCATAGCGACCCTATAGGACAGAGTAGAACTGCCCTGTAGGGTTTCCAAGGAGCAGCTGGTGGATTCTAACTGCCGACCTTTAGGTTAGCAGCCAAGCTCTTAACCACTGTGTCGCCAGGGCTCCCCATAAACTATAGAAGGAAATAATTTACTGCAGAGGCCTACTTCCGCAGTTACTTAGTTTGATTGAATCTCATATTTATTATGGTTGACCATTTACAAACGGGTGCCTTTTATATTATTATTTGAATGGATGAGTTAGAAACTGAGTTTGGTTAAACCATAGAACCAAGCAGGGCTTTCTCACACATTAATTAGAGAATCTTACTCTTTTCTCCTACATAATTCCATTTATTATGAGTAGGCATAGATCATTTTCAGAAGAAAATACCAAATAATTTCTTTTCTAAGTTTTTAACTGAAAAAATGTCCCATCCAGATACCAGGGAATTGTAATGGGAGTCATATATCGAAATGAGACCTGATAACCAGGGTATTTAAACTTTAACCAGAGTATTTGAGCTTTAACAATAAGCACATGCTCTCGTTTGTGTGTGTGTGTGTGTGTGTGTGTGTGTGACAGTGTGTGCATGCATGTGTGTGGTTTTCTTTCTTGCTTAGGACTCCTAGCTGCTTTGATAGACACCAGACAGTTGTCATAAATTATTACCTAGCAAGGTTATAAAAGGAAACATTTGAAATTGACCATTTCAGTTAATAATGCATCCACAATTAGAACTGTAGTTTTATTTATCTTTATCATTAAATGTTTGCTGAATAAATGAACCAAAGTTCTAAATTAAGAGTGTTTAAAAATTTACCTTTAATTTCTAACCATGGATCCTAGTTCTGCCCTTTGGAACTAAGTGAATATATTTACTCGTCACTTACCGACTATCTTGTTTTCCAGTGTTTTGCATTTACGACCATGTTAAAAAATCTACTATCCTACTATCTAGTTTTTCTGGTTTCAGGCTAGAAGAGACCGTGATTTATGTGGGCTGTTAGTCCTGTGGACTAGTTTCTTCTTTGAGTCTTTGGTTTCCTTCGTTCTCTTTTGCTTCAGATGAGTAGATACCAATAGTTGTATCTTAGACAGCTCCTCACAAGCTTTGAAGACCCTAGACACTACTCACCAAACTAGGATGTAGAACATTATGAATTATGTTATGCCAGTTTACTGAATTGTCCCACGATACTATTATCTGAAGCCTTTTCATCCAGTAAACCAATCCCTCGAGGTGTTTGGGTATGTCCTAGAAAGTCTCTGTAACTGTGCCCCCTTTGTGCTTGTATATATGTGAACATATATGCAGCACACAGAAAGACGTATATACGTGTGCCTACAGGTACACCTATAAATGCACGTGCATATACTAGCATATGCCTTCCTATACATTATATGCATTCATATCTACCTATGTAACCACACGTTTTTTGGCTGTTATTACTGTTGTTGCAAAATGGTATATGATAATATTTCCCAAAATTATCCGTTTTTCTTGCATACTTCTTAGTGTCTTCATTTACCTTGGACATGTTCTGCAGACTTCACCCATATTTGGTATTACCTTTCCCATCAACAAAAATAACAAGTGTCTACTATCTGGAAAGTGATTCCCCCTCCCTTCACCTCCCATCCCTGATAACCATCAAAGAATGTTGTTCCCTATGTGTATACCTATTCTTGACTTTTTATAACACTGTGACCATACAATATTTGCTATTTTGTGATTGACTTATTTAACTCAGCATAATGTCCTCTGGGTTCATCCGTGTTGTATATATTTATACACACAGACACATATATATTTAATATTAGTGAAGAACTTAACATTTAACCCAATTTAAGTTGTGTTATTGGTTTCTTATGTGTTTCTCATCAGACTCTACGCTTCTTTAGTGTCCAGGCATGGACCAGTAACTTGAAACTTGCAAGGCAGTGCTGAGTGGCTGTAGAACCAGAGCAGATCTCTGTACCATGTAGTGGGAGGACAGAGGCTTTATAGTGCTGGTGGACAATAGTGGCTCCATGCCAGGGGCTTACATAAGAGTGCAAACTTTAGTGAACTAGCAGACCATGTGGGGGTGCCCATGTTCAGCCTTACAAGGCCCGTTTCCCCTTTGTTTAGTATAGGATGCTGTCTAGGAGAATACTGGGATGTAAGAGGTATTTAATGATGAAACCATGAATTAATAAATATATAAATAAATGAATTTTTAGTTCTTCATTCTACTTAGTCTCTGATCTTATCATTCATGATCTTTAAGCAGCACAAGTTTAGGAACTGTGCCTGATATTGCTAACCAGTCTACCTTCAACTTGCAGCAGAGTACCCGGAACGTAGTTTTAGTATTCACTAAACATTGTTGATTGAATGACCTGCTTTATAGCAATCTCCTTGTCTTTGCCTATGTATGGCTTAAAATTAATGTGGGCATTACTTGTTGAGCAAAAGAATTATTGGAAGAAAAGACATTATTTGGATGACAAATAAAGATACCAACCTATCAAAACCATGTACTAACTAAAAAGAAGGGATGGCCTTCTTAGCTGAAGATTCCGTTTTAGCTTCTTCAGGTATCTGAAACAGAACTGTAAACAAATCCTGTCACAAAGCCTTTTTACACGTGGGAGAGTCAGATTAGATGTATAATTAATGTTAACAGAATTTATTTATTAAATTGCAAAACTCCTTTCCTTTTTATAATTATAATGGACAAGAATAATAAAACACAGGATATGAAATGGAATGATCATACTGTGAAAACTGCCGAAGGCCATTTGGTATATGGACAATCAGCTGTACAATGTTAATGACCTTTGAGGGTGAGCTCTTATAGAATATAGAGAATTGACGTGATAAAACCCCAGATTAGTGTTTTGAGAGAGATCCTTTACTGATGCAGGAGCCAGGCACTTGTTGCCTAGAAATAGTAGATGTATCTTTCAGAGACTTACAAGTTCCCATGGAAAAAAAGAGAGAAAAACCCACTGCCATTGAGTAGGTTGATTCTTAGTGACCCTATAGGACTGGGTAGAACTGCCCCATTGGGTTTCCAAGGAGCAGCTGGTAGATTCAAACTGCCAGCCTTTTGGTTAGCAGCTGTAGCTCTTAACCCCTGGACTACCAGGGCTCCGTAAAGGGATGAAATGGTTGATATTACCAGCATTTCTGGAAAAAAATTATTTAACACTAAGTTATAGTAGAAATGTGATTCTTTAATCAAACGTATATTCTGGATAATGCCACTTTTTTTTTTTTTAAATGAACCATTTACCTCATCACAAAGCAGTAATTTTAATCTGAAATTTTTCTTATAGCTGGTATTTAAAGATGCTGCAGTGCTGCAAATGTAAGCAGTGGTTTCATGAGGCTTGTGTACAATGCCTTCAAAAGCCAATGCTATTTGGAGACAGGTGAGAAGGGCATTTGAACTTTACTGATTGAGTTTTATAACTTTTTTTTTTATCACGGTTATGTTTGTGGTTTCAGATTTCTAAAAATAGTCATAACAGTGACTTGTAAAGGAGATCACCTCAGAAGGAAAGTATTAAATAATATACTTGTTTTTGTTGTTAGGTACCATCACGTCAATTCCGACTCATAGCAACCCTGTAAAACAGAGTAGAACTGCCTCATAGGGTTATCATGGCTGTAATCTTTATGGGAATAGACTGCCACATCTTTCTCCTGCAGGCGCTGACCTTTCTGTTAGCAGCCAAGCACTTAACTATTGTACCACCGGGGCCCCAAATAATATACTTAAAATACATATAATTTTTGTGCTTTTGGATATTATTCCAGAAAGCTTTTATGTAATTGATTAGTGATTATATTTGCTCCCATTGTCCCACAGTGCTCCAAACTATTCTCATGGGTCTCTTTATTTCAAGAACCTTAAAAGAATCTCACAACAGTGAATTGGGTAAGGCAGTTGATACAGGTACAACTTATCCCTTAGATCTAAAGAATTTCTAAAAGCAGACCTAATGTGCTTGTCTTAATTAAGATAACGTGGTATAGCCGAGAGATCGGTTAATTATGGAGGCATATTAACCTGTATTTGAACTCTGAAGGTCTCTGTTGTTGCTTTCGTTAGTTGTCCAGTCTATTTCAATTCATGGTGACCCCGTGTATCCAGAGTAGAACTGCTCCATAGGATTTTCAAGGCTGTGACCTTTCAGAAGCAGATTACCATGCCTGTCTTCTAGATGCCTCTGGGGGGTTCGAACCACCAGCTTTTTGGCTAGTAGTCAAGCTCTTAACCGTTTGCATCACCCAGGCATTCCTCTGAAGATCTCTTTCCCCCAGATACGAACTGTTACATTGTTTGTTATTAGAAAAGAAATTTCTTAAGTTACAGACAGTATCATAATTTAGATTATCTTTTGCTCTATATTCAGTGTCCTGTAGTCAGTTGTAGGATAATTCATACATACCCTCATTACTCAAAATATATTCAACTTTTTCTTCTTCCTTAGGTTTTACACATTTATTTGCTCTGTCTGCAGTTCTGGACCAGAATACCTCAAACGTCTACCATTACAATGGTAAGTGCCAATATTTCTTTTAAGAAAAAAAGAGCCATATTCTTAAGCCTGCAAGATGAAAGCTTTTTTTATACATTTATTTAAAAAAAAATTATTGGCTTAAATAAAATGTTCATTTCTATGGCTAGCTTTATTTCTTTTCTTTCATTTATCCCCAAGTCTGATGTCATCTTCACTAAGGATTATCTAGTTTTTTTGCTAAATTGATAAGGCTGTTCGTTGTTGAATAGCATAAATGTAACTTTAAAACATCTTTTAGACTTCCAGAATTTTTACTCATGTTTCCAGTTCTTTGGGGCCTTAAAAATAGCATACAATAGAAAAGACAGCGCTTGTATTAAAAAAACTGCCTATTTCTGCTTCAGTGTAGTAATTCTTAGGCATGGGAAGGGTGCTGCATTTTGGAGATTTATTAATAAAATATTTATAGTAAGTAGTTACAAATTTTTGTGAAGTATTTTATTTATTTTAGGAACAGATGAGATTTAACTCATCAATCAGATAGAATAGTCTATTAGAGTATGTACTTAATGTAAGTAGTGAAAAGCAGAAATTTTGATTAGTTTTTGGTTATAAGCTATTTTTTCTTAGATCCACTTTGCATTTTAATACTGAATTCTGTTATCTTTTAGTTTATAATTCAGGATAAGCAAACGTTTAATGTTTTCCAATTATTTTCATATATAGTGATTTATTGAAGTGAATTTGACTTAAAATATTGACCCTCTCTTCACCTAAATGGAGCTCTGGTGGCACAGTGATGAAGAGCTCAGCCGCTAACCAAAAGGCTGGCAGTTTGACTCCACTAGCCGCTCCTTGGAAACCCTACGGGGCAGTTCTGCTCTGTCCTATAGGATTGCTGTGAGTCTGAATTGACTCTGTGGCAATTGGGTTTTTTGGTTTTCACCTAAGTATTTCACTGTGAGTTTTTAATTACTGGTTTTAGTTAGAAATTATGTGATTTTGTAACAATAACTAAATAAATAAATAATAAATAAACTAAATAAATAAACTTCGTTTATTTTTGGATTTCAGGGTAGATATAGCACACCTATGCCTTTACAACCTAAGTGTTATTCACAAGAAGAAATACTTTGATTCTGAACTTGAGCTTATGACATACATTAATGAAAACTGGGATAGATTGCACCCTGGAGAGGTAAGTGGTCTTAGAGCTAACTTCATTAGCTATTTGATATTTTTGTTTTGCTTTTGTTAAAAACAACTAAGTTACATATTTAAGTCATATGTCTAAACAAAATTTTGGTTTTGGGTCTGTGGAGAGATAACTTTGATAAGGATTATCAGGAACAGTCCTCATCCTACTTTGTGTGTTGCCTGTTAGCTCTGGAAAAATTTACAAGAAGGAAGTAAATTACTTGATACTTCCATTTTCTGAAGTAAGAATCATTATAATTAAAGTTAGTAGGGAGAGAGAAATCTTTAGGATTGTGTATCTTACTCATGGTTCTGCCTCCTTTTCTTCTAAGTTTTCTGTAAACTTAGAGATATAACCAATACTCTTCTTTCCTGTTTTATTGGTTATAATCTATATATACCTCCCTTATATACTTTTGACTTCCAGGAATGATGGGATCCAGTAGTAGTGTTAGAATAATGAATTGTAAAAGTGAAACTATCTCCCCTATTCTGACAACATCTTATTCTGCTTTTCATTTGCAAAGTTTATAACCACCTATGCTAACTTACAAAAAAGTTTTTAAAGGAATATAACCATAATGAATGTTCATTGAAGATTTCGAAACTATAGAATAGCACAAAGAAGAAAGTAACTAGAATAAGTTTAATAGCTATCTTGTTTTCAGCTTTTATTTAGAATTATTAGAATACAGATATTAACTGCTCTTAGATCAAAACAAAAAAATTTGTTTTGTAATACGTTGAATTAGATGTGTGAATTTTAGTCCTACATTACTTTTTGAGGAAAAAATGGTGCAAACTTATTTGAAGTTTAGAGAGAATTTCTGCGTTATTGTGGCTTTTAGACATGAGGCAGTTTGTAATATTCGTATCAAATAGCATATAAATGTTTCTTTGTTGTTTTGGGGTTTTAAGGGAGAGCATAATGCACATTTATTTGAAAGTTGGTGGTAGATTAGCTGCATAAAATAAAGCAGATACTGCAGAATTCTTAGGTTTTAAAATCTGGGCTACTATTGAAACTCAGTGTTTTGAGTGTTAGAAATTGGAGTATTAAACTTACTCTTAAGTTTTCTGTTAAATCTTTGTCATTTTTCAGATGAAGTTTGAGAGAAAGTGAATGACTTGTACATCTAATAGATTTTAATAAACCGATTAGTGATAAGAAAAATTAAGAATAAGGCACTGGTAGCCATAGTGTTCTTTAATGTCATCTTACTAATTAATCCTGTCAGTATATTCATTTTAGAATGTTTTCTTTCTAGTACATGATTCTTTCAGCACTATATTTGCAGATACATCTAAATACCTGTTAGTACATTTTGTGTTTCACATGATGAAATTCTGCAGTAGTTACTTGATGTAGAGTGGGTACACATGTAAAAAGTCAAACAGTGTTTTAATTCAAATGCTGTCATTCTCTGTTAAAATTTAAATTTTAATGTTTAGATTTTGTTTAAGAGGCTGAAAATATTAAACAATAAAATGCATAAATAATCTAATTTCAGAAAAGAGTTCAATTTGTGAATTTCAGGTAGCTCAGCTCCAGCTGAACTTCAGTACTAGATACATGTTTCCATTTTTTTCTAGCCTGTGAGGTGTTATCTTAGAAATAAGAAACTTTAATTGATTATTCTTTGCCAATGTATAAATGTTTCTCTTTTTATTAAAAAATGATTACAGTCTAATAGAACTTTACAACAGAAAAGCTTTACCTTTTTAAAAGAGTGTTTCTATTTCTTTGAGCCATCAAATTTATTATTAGAACAAGTGGCTTTTTAATCATTTCTCATTCTGCTTTCTTCTGCATTAAAATAGGAAAATATTCAGATTTTTAGTTTGTTCATCCCATCCTCGGACTGGTTAATGATAGTTGGAAGTTCAGGTTTTAATTCTGTGTATGAATGTCTTCCATCTTTATACTATATTTAGAATTGGGCAAGATTTTAATAAAGAGATCATAAAATTTATACCAGTCTATAATGTTTATTGAATGTTTTTTATTTAATTTACTTTTAAATGTTTGTGATAATGGAAACAAATACAAAGAATCATTCCAGGATATTCACTAGGTGGTGCAAACAGTTAATGTGCTCGACTCCTAACCGAAAGGCTTGGCTATCTACTTCCTTAAAAATCACCCATTGAAAACCCTATAGCATGATTCTACTCTGACACACATGGGATTGCCATGAGTCAGAATTGACTCTGCAACTTATTCCCTTGCCCTCCCCCCGAATACTTAAACAGTATGTCTTTGATTAATTGAAATGGAAATTGAATTTTGTCACTACTTACCCAAATTTAGGTTAACAAAAGCAAATTTTATTTATATTTTTGTTGAAAATCTTTTACAAAATAGCATTACTCACTTTCAAGACATGGGGAGAATAGTATATGCTCAGAATATTATTATTGGTTAATTGAGTACCTTGGAGTACTCAAGAATAAGTTTGAACATCAGTTCTTATTATACATAGTACGGATTATATGGTATATGAACTTGTTCTAAGTTTCTTCTAAAAAATGAAACAACAGAACAATAGTTATGTTGTGGTTTTACTTTATTTTAAATGTAGAGTCCCACCTGTCCAGATAAAAGAAATAAATATTGTGATATTGTGAGAAGTTGATTGAGATTTTTATGGCATTTTGCTCAGGAATATATAATAGATACCTGGTCACAGGGACATTTATCCATATTTACCATTCCCAGGCTGAACTATGACTTAAAAATTTTACATATGAGCATATGATGACACTGGCTAAACCTTAATGGTGCTTAGCAACTATATTTTGGAAGCCTAATCTGAAATATATGTTTAGGTTTCTAGTTATGTGGTGTAATCTTATATTAACCCACTGATATTCTGTTTAGTATATTGTCCTCTATTTTTTTATTGTCATAAAGTAAATACTGAGACTTCTCCTAATAGCAAAAGGTAGTCTTAAGAATATTAAACTTCTTTTAGAGGTGATATCCTTTCATACCGAAAGGCAGCTCTAACATTTATGTATCATATATTTTCTTCTTAGTTGACTATTTTACAGAATTGCTGTGAAGAGAAGCTAAAACTTGAATACTATGTTAGAAGATCAAGATAGTTTTATACCATGCTTCATTATGTCAGGTTTTTTTTTTTTCTTTTTTTTTCCCCTTTTAACACCTTTGAGATTTGGTGCCTTATAATATAATCTGAGTGTTTGAGGAAACTACTGTGTTTGGAAATATTTTCTTTGAGATAGTAAAAATATATAATGTAATGTTTGAGAACCATATAAAGGTTGCTGAAGATTTTTATTTAGAATTAGGTTTTATCACTGTTGTACCGGATTGCTTTTGGGAATTTAAAGTGAGATGTTAATACTTTTCGGAATCTGCCTGTTGTCATTTGTCTTTGATTCCTAATGTGATTTGAAATCCTAGTTATGTAAGAACAGCCTACTTTTAACTGTAGTCTTAAATTTTAAAAACTCAAAGGTTGGTAGCAGAAGAATGTATTGAGTGCTACCTTACTTTTGAGGAAGGTGGAGAGAAAAGCATAGATAAAACTCGAATGAAATACTGTGACAGAAATGGTATTTTGGCTAGAGAAAAATGTAGTATAATGGAGATGGTATAATACTTTTAAATGAAAATCTGGTTCAACAGCGTATACTTGGGACCTTGACTGTTAATATGTTAACATAAGGTATATAGTTTGGCAAACATTACTTAAGCTATTGACATACTTAAACCTAGGTTGCATGGAACTCAATATTGGTAATTGAAGGGTGTATTTTATTAAAGGGAAGAGTAATACTATACATAGTAGTAGTTATTTCTGTATAGAAATATAAAACCTGAAAGTAAAAGCATGGTGTGGGAATAGTGTATAGATAATTATTCTGTTGAAGATATACACTATATATATATTCTGTTGAAGATATATACTGTAAAACTCATGGCCAGGTGAAAGGCCTAGAATATGATGTTGTAATACAGATTTTTCTGATTTAGACTATAATCTTTGTACTCTTTGCAAAATACAGAGTCCTTGACCTCTTTATACGAGTTGAAGTGTACAGTCCTATGAAAATAGTCCTGGAGTGCTAAAGAATCCTTCAGATAAAATTTCTGAGAAACCATGGAAAATAAGTACTAAAAGAGAAGAGAGAGTTAATTGTAATTTTCAAAAGTGAAAAGAAGTGTGTTTGAGAAATTACCAGGTCGGTTTTGATGTTGATTGTCAGCAGAATTGCAGAGATTTTTCAAATACATGGTTTATGAAGATTTAAAAAGGAATAAAGAAAAACACCTATTAGAATAACTTATGTTAAATACCCTGATTTTGTTTTTTTAGATGATTAGTAAGACTTTGATGTGTCAGCTATGGGCATGGTGTAGACATAGTATTACTTTCAAATAAGATATGGAAATGTGAACTGTTTAAACATTAAATGGATTTGTAACTACGTGGTTAAATAGCAGTAACAAAAGCAGTGAATGTCTTGGAAACATTCTTGAGAGAGATTCTTATGGAGAGCCACAGGGTCTTTTGTCTTTACCTTCAATTCAAGGATGACAGAATTAAGAGAAAAGATTGTCTGGAACATTGAGCTAAAAACAATGAACTCAACCAGTTACAAAATTCTACTTTTAGACTTAAACAAACACGGTAGTACAGGTGTATGATAGAAGATACTTGGTAGCAGTTTATGTGATAAGATTTCAGAGCTTGGGTAGGAGGTAACCAGGAAGAGGATGGAATTAGTTAACCATAAGCTTAGGTCCCTGGGTGGCACAAACGGTTTGCGCTTGACTACTAACTGAAATGTTGGCAATTTGAACCATAAGCTTAATATGAAATAATCATGTGATATGGCTGCTAAAAACTTTAATCTTATACTTAGACATGGTAGCTACTGTCAGATATTTGAAGAGCTCTCTTGTAAAAGAGGAAATAGAAGAATTGCAAGGGTAGAAGGTTTTGTCTACCTATGGAATTGGCTTCTTCAGTAGGTGACTCATCAGCTTTATTAGTGGAAATATATTAGCCAAGGTTGAATGCCTCTACTGTAAAAGTATTTGCAATATTGGGTCGAAAATTAAGTGGACACCTAGGGTCTCTTTCAAGCCGTAAAGTCTGATTCTATTGTTTCTCATTTAATAGAAATTTTCTATTTTTGGACACTTCAGAAATTACAGGAGAAGGATGTGGTGTAGAGGAATGAGCACCGAACTGTCCCATCTCATAATTTTTTTTTGTTAGCACCCAACACACCTGGCACATGATGGGCTCTTGGTGAATGTTGAATGAATGAACTTAGCATCACTGCATTCAGTGAATTTGAGCAGTTATTTAATCTTTCTATCTGTTAACTCACCTGTAAAATAAGGAGAGTTGGAGTAAAGACTATAAGTGTCCTCTACCGCCAACATTCTGTTTGGCAGGTTTTTTTGTTTGTTGCTGTTTTCACTTGAAGCAGTTCTAAGGCTTGGGAGTTTTAATTGGTAAAGAACATGCTGGCTGTAATTTGGAAAGTCAACTGTGATATTTTTGGAAGCTTTTAAAAAATATTTTTGCTCTTTTATAATTTAGAAGCTTTTACTAATAGGGCCTCATCCTTAAACTTTGAAGAAGAGACAGAAATGTCTCTGAGGAGAAGCCTTATTGGAAGGAAATAGAATATTTTCTAGAATTGAATATTTAAATTTTAAAATGGTTTGTGATGATAAAAAATTACTGAGCCATTGTAGGGCTAGCTAGTCTATAACCACTATGAAAATAAAACCCCCAAATTTCACAGTATTTGTAAAAATTAGAGATAATTCATTTATGCTAATATTAGAAATATTGAGAAATCAAACAGTATGTGTTTCTTTTCTTTTTAGACTGCTTCCTAGTGAGATCTAGTGGAAGTTTTTATGGTTGACATTTAAATAATCCTAATGCATTATTTTCCCAGATTATGGAATTTTTAAAAAATTTAATGATAACTAATCATATCTCATTTTTGTAGTCTTTTATAGTTTACAGTTTCTTCACAGATATATATTGTTTGATTTATACAATAAACTAGTAATTAGTATAGGATTTATATTCCCCTCTTTATAGGTGAGAAAATAAGTCTTGAGAGGTTAAATGACTCAGGTCACATAGCTAGTCAGCGAGGACCTGGAATTAGAACTTGGGTCTTTTGATTACCAGTCAGTACACTTTTCCTCTGCATCACATTGCCTCTATCTAGCACCTGTATTTTACTAATTGATGAAATTGTAGTGCATTAAATTGTCTCTTGATACTTCACAGCTGGCAGACACACCAAAATCTGAAAGATATGAGCATGTTCTGGAGGCATTAAATGATTACAAGACCATGTAAGTTGACTTATTTTATGTATCCCTATGAGGGAGACACTTAGTAAGTATAAGGAATAACAGCACTGTTTAAGAATTCTGGGATTGGTATACAGAACTCTAATACATTACATTTTAAACATTTTAATGTCTCATTCTCTTCCGGTGAGAATAAAGCAGTGATGGTTGGAAAAGGGAAGAGCAGTCCTCCTCCTGGAAGTGGTGGGTGGGATGCATATCAGTATCTCCAGAGGAGTTTGGCCTATTCATTTGAAAAAGCATAAATAAGTTGTCTCTATAATACAATCTACTGAAAGTAAATAAAGTCTTCTTAGCTGGTTGGAATATGTAAAAGACGGGAAATATTGTAGAGAATATGGGATTTTAAAAGATTGGCGTCTGTGGTTTTAAGATTAATTATTGCCATCAGTTACAGAAAAGTAGCATTCTGGTCTAAGATTTTGATAATTAAATGATATTGTTTGACATTCTTGTATAGATCTTTGCTTTTTTTTTTAACGAACATATCTACATTTCTTGAAGATATTTTCAAAATGCAATAAAAATATTTTCTCTAAACGTAAATACTGGCTCCAGCCAACTGTAAATTTTTTGTTTGTAAATGGTTTCTGTTTTGAACATGACAGCATTTATTACTAGTGGCTAGACCTGTAGGTCAACTGAAAAAAACCATAAGGTACCTGAGCAATTACTGTACTAGTAAAAATATTTTATGGGACAACTCTGAATTCCAATTTAGGATACCAGAGATACATCTCTTTCTGTTATGGTAAAAATCGGGGCTCCTTTTTACTGATCCTACATAAAAGTAGAACATTCCAAGCAATTGCTAGTGGTTCTTGTGGGCAGGCAGGCTCCGGTAGAGCTAATGTAGATGGGGATGTTTAGGAATAAGGACCCTAAGGATGTAGGGAAGGGGCTAAGGAGTACATTTTTCAAAGGCCCAAGTTCATACTCCACTGAAATAATGCTTTTCTGCACACATGGTGTTACCATGAGTCAATTGACTCGATGACAACTGGTTGGCTCCACAGTATTTCAATTCTAGATAGGGCACATTAAATACTCCTTTATTTTCTGGGCCTCTAGGATTGGTCTCTACCTTCTTTTCCATTGCTATCACCTATGCTTCTGACCAGGTTCTCTCTCCTCACAAATGCACCCTGAAATAGACTTCTTCTTTTCCTAAACCTTTTTTGAGACATTTCTAACAGATGACACTAAAATATGAGAAAATATACTGGGAAGAAAAAGACAACATCCCATGCTCTTCCTCCTTCCTTTAAATAGGTAGATGCCATGTTAAAAAAGAAATGTGGAGATGTGCTCTTCTCCCATCCTGCTGATCCTATCCTCCCTGCTCCCTGCCTGTGCCGCCACCCTTCCCACCCCCAACATTTTCTACTGTGATCTCACTCTGGGGCAAGTAAGAAATAATGAAAGTGAGGGGAAAGAGGAAATTCTTGTAGTGTTGGGTGGGCTTTCATGTATAAGGGCCTTATATCTGAGAGCTATGAGTTAGAGTCTGCCGTGTATATGTGTTCAGTTTTTAAAATTTTAGCTAATTTTTTTAAAAATTTAGGTTTATGTCTGGGAAAGAAATAAAGAAGAAGAAGCATTTGTTTGGGTTGCGAATTCGTGTTCCTCCTGTGCCACCAAATGTGGCTTTCAAAGCAGAGAAAGAACCTGAAGGAACATCCCATGAATTTAAAATTAAAGGCAGAAAGGCATCCAAACCTATATCTGATTCAAGGTAAAAGTTGATCTGTGGCTTAGTTTTTCTCTTTAGTTTATTTGTAACTAAAAATATGTGTTATTTAGTGTCATTAGTATATTTGAAAGTACAAGTGGTAGTTACCCTGATTTGTTTTCCTGTCTTTAATTTCTTGTTGAGTCAAGGTACAAAGAGTTGATGCTAGATGTTTATCTTTTTTTTTTTTTTTCTTTTAGGTCTTTGGCCTTCCAGGAATAGGCCCTATTGATTTTGTTAGCAAACAGCTTAAGTACTGGTCTGTCTATTTGTTTGTTTGTTTTTCATTCATTCATTCATTCAACACGTTTATCGAGCACCTACTTTATTATCTGGATTCTGGGGATACAGTGACTAACAGGACAGACTTTTTTTTTTTTTTTTAACCCTGATAGGATTTACATTATAGTGGGGGAAGAACTGTGATAAACAAAATAAATAGCTAGTGCCATTTAGGAAATAGCATTCTGTTTTAGAGTATACTGGGATGAATAGAGATTGGGGGATCTACTTTAGAAAGGAGGCTTAGGGGAGGCTTCTTTGAGATAGTATTTAAGCTGAGATTTAAAAAATGAGAATGATCTAACAATGGGAAGAACAAAGGCAGAAATACTCTAAGTAGCAGAAATAACAAGTGTGAATGCCCTGAGGCATGTTGTAGGAACTCCCAGAAGATGAGTGTGGTATGAATGAGGGCTAGAGAATAGCATCAGGTGTTGGAAAGGTTGGATGGGGTCTGATTATGTAGATCTCATAAGGAGTTTGAGTTGTTTTCTAGGAATAATAGGGAGCCATTTAAGGATTGTAAGAAGATTTAATTATCTTTTAAATATACTTCTTGGGATGCTGTTTGGAGAATGGGTAGGTATGGACTAAGAATGGAAGCGGGAAAATTAAGACTTGCAGTTGTCAAGGTAAGCGATAGATAATAGTTGCTTGTGCAGGGATAGGTGGTAACAGTACAAATGGAGAGAAAATAAATTGGAGATCTCTTGGAGGCAGAGTTGAATTGAATTTGCTAATGGATTAAATGTATTAAAAGAAAAAGAGGAATCAAGTAAAATGATGCCCAGATTTCTAGCTTGAGCAACTGGTGGGTGGTGGTGTCTTTTATCAAGATATGGAAGAACAGGTTTTGGTAAGGTGAACAAAGAGTTGTTTTTCATACTCATTGAGGTTCATATGAGGGATATTTAAGTGATGATGTGAGATAGGCAGTTGGATATGTAAGTCAGCAGCATAGACGAGAGGTCAGGGCAGGTGATAAAAATTTGGAAGCTGATTTAAAGCCATGAGAATGAATGAAATTACCAGGGGAGCAAGTTGAGAGAGAGGGAGGGAGAGAAGGTGGCTCAGAATAATACGCTGATACTATTTAGAGATCTGAAAGAGGTGAAATAAGCAAAGAAAACTAAGAAATCATCAGTGAGATAGGAGGAAAACCAGGGAAGTTTGGTGTCATGAAAGCCAAGAGGAAGGGAGTGTTTCAAGAAAGATGGGTGTATTAAACTATTGAATACTGCTGAGAGGTGGATTAAGATGAGAGAAAAATGTGTATTGGATAAGGCAACATTTTATTATTAGTGATTTTGACTAAAGCACTTTCTTTGGAGTAGTAAAAATGGAAGTCAGATTGGAGTGTGATTGAATCCAGCACTCCTCGATTTAATGTCAAAGCTGGGCTTTTCCTACAAATAAGACACATGAGCAGATTCAAAACAATAATAATAAAGGAAAAGGGGAAAAAACAAATGTTTAAGAATTCTGAATAAGAAGGGGGAAAGCAGAAAGGGTATATATATAGATGACACTTTGAAGAAATCTCTCTGTGAAGGGAAGTAGTCAAATGGAATAGCAACTGAAGAGGCAGAAGAATAGTCAAGTGATACTTTTTTAATAGATGGGAGTTAATTGAAACCTGTTTCTGTGTGCTTGAAGGAATGATCCAGTGGAGAAGAAGAGGTGGGCATAGGGGATAGAGGAGGTAACTGAAGATATTGTAAAGTCAGTGAGAAGCCAAAAGGAAAGAGTTCTAGAGCCTAAACGGGGAATGGCCTTTGATAGGAGGAGTTCACTCTTCTGTTGAAATGGAATGAAAAAGGAGAAGATGGGTACAGATGCTGGTAGTTTTGTAGGTTTGGCAGTTAGAAGATAACTGAAGTTCTTGCCTGGTGCCTTTATATTCTCAATGAAATACGAGGCAAAAACATCCAAGAGTGAAGAGTTTTACTGAGAGGCGAGTATAAGGGGCAAGTAAAAGATAATGGAAGTTATCTTGGAGAGTTAGAAAATGTAATTACAGAGGGTCAACAGTGCTTCATATCCATCTGAGGTTCAAAGTGGATAGTACTTTAAGTTTCTTTACGTTGCTTACTGTTCTGTCCCTTTCAAGCTTTATCACTAATCCTTTGTGAGCAGTTGCCCACACTATCAGTTAGGAAAAGAGAATTCTACAAACTTACCCTTTTATTCCTATTATGATTTTGTTAGGATGCTCCATTGTTGGTAGCTATCGTTTCCCTCTGGTGTGACTAGGTGAAGATTCAGCTTTCTGTAAAGGTGTCCTCATTTCCTTCTGGGCCCTATGTATGGATTGATCCTTTTAGTCTGAATACTTTTTTTAGTCCAGGTTTTCTTTATAATTATTATGTTGATCATCTTTCAGAAACAATAAAATGGGCATACACACCCAATCCATCTTAACCTTGAAACTTGATTTTAGTTCTAGTTCTGTTTCGTTCCTCTAGCTCTCCTCCTTTCTCTGTGCCTTTTGTGTTTACATCTTTATTCCGCAACCTTAATTTGGTGTGTGGAGGGATAAGGTCTTTCCTGATTTCTCCATTCAACTATTTTTAGCCTATTACATAGTATTGTTCCCTTTCCTTGTTTTTAAATTGAATTTTTGTGGATAACTTTCTCATAGCACTTAGCCCAATTTATTAGCCTGCTTGTATGTACATTTGTCACTTTCTAGCTATATTGTGAGCCCCTTAGCACAGGGAACATCTTTGTATCCCTATTATCTAATATCCCTGTTACATGGTACATAGTGTTTATTCAATAAATGAATAGATGTGTTCTTTATATTGCTGTTTGCCCTTTTCTTCTTCCCTTCTATTAGAATTGTCCCTGACTGTTGCATTTTCCCCCTTTCTATATTTCAGAAATGGTTTTCTAGGTCTTTCTAATTTTGCGCTTTGAATGACACCTGCCCAATATGAAGGATTCCTTCCTTTTTCCTCTGCCATTTTGGGTTTCATTCACTTTCTGATAGAATCATTCAGGAATCCATATATGTTATCTCTAAAGGGAGCCTCTATTGATAGCTACTGTAACATAAATAGTTCTGGCTCCATGAGGTTAAGTGCTAAATTCATAATCATTTTTAGTGTTAAATTCTTGAAACATCTCCTCCCAAGTAGTAACAACCTAAAGCTAAATAATTGAACTTTTAGTTTTGAAGTCTTCCATTCAATATAATTTTTTTTTAATCTCTAGATGGTATGTATTTTTCAGAGCTGTATTAAAGAGAACATTTTATCTTAAATCTTTCAGATGTAAGCGCTCTTAATTCAAGAAATAATTTAAATTAGCATGTATTATATGTATATTTGACTACACTTGTAGATTCAGCTTATATTTGATTATTGTAATTTTTGTTACCATTAATTTAAAAATATAATACATATATATCTAATTATTACGTAAGTAGAGTTCCCTGTGACAGTATATATTTTCCAATGTCTGATTTCTTTCTTCAGAGGTTAAACATAAAATGTTTTATGTTTCAGGGAAGTAAGCAATGGCTTAGAAAAAAAAGGAAAGAAAAAATCTGTAGGTCGTCCACCTGGCCCATATACAAGAAAAATGATTCAAAAAACTGCTGAGCCACCTTTGGTAAGAGATATAGTAGTATCTTTTCTCAGAAGAAAGAAAGATGCATGAAATTACTGAGAAGCTAATATTTTTCAGCTTACTTTGGAACCATCCTTGAAGTATGTTTTTATTTTCCAGGATAAGGAATCAATTTCAGAGAACCCTACCTTGGATTTACCTTGTTCTATAGGGTAAATAGAAAGTTATTTTCTTCTTTCCTAGGAAATTTCTTTTTTGGGGAAAATTAGTATTTCTATTGTTATGTAATATAGTTGTTATACCATTTAAATTCTTTTGTCTCAGGAGAACTGAGGGAACTGCACATTCATCCAATACCTCAGATGTGGATTTCACGGGTGCTTCCACTGCAAAAGAAACTACCTCGTCTAGCATTTCCAGGCATTATGAGTAGATACTTTATGTTCTTATTCTTTACTAATTTTTCTCTATACCCTTGTTCTTTGTAGAGTGATAAATAATATTTTAGCAATTGAAAGTGATACAAGTGTGCCTTTCAGCTTTCTGAGAAGCAGTCCATATGTAGATTCCCTAGGCTGCTAATACTCATCTGAATATTTTTGCTTTTCAGAACACAAACATGAAATTTTTCACATTTGTTATGAAATTTGCTGTGTACACAGAGAAGAGGTATACTGGATTTTATAGGTTGTGTTCTTTTGTTAGGCCTTTTGTGCCTCTAATAGACAGTGCCTTGCTTTAGGAAGACTTGCTTTATTTATTTATTCTAATTAGTCTGAATCAGGTTCATAAACCCTATTGTCAGGATAAAGATTTTAAACTCAGGATTTTTTCAGTAGCAGATTCCCCTGTAATGTTTTATTTAACACAGCTCTTTAGAAGGACATCTTTTTTCCTGAAGCAAGATATGTCATGACTTGAGGTCAAAGCTATGAGTTTGCACATTTTTATACTTCCCTTTGTTTAATATATTCTTGTTCACAATTCAGAAACTGTTCTTATAAATCATACAGAAATTCTGAGTGCTTAGAGGTTTAAAATGTGACCTATTTGTTAATGAATTTTGAATAATAATTGAGCTATTTTTTGACCTCTTATCATATTCCACACACTGAGCTAAGCTTTTTACATACATTATCTTGCATTTAATTCTTAAAATAATCTTTTTAGTTATTATAGGCCCTGTGATTCCCATTTTCCAGATTAGGAAAGCCCAAGATCCAAGTACAAAGGAGCCGGTGTCTTAACCGAGGCAGTATGATTCTAAAGCCTTTGAGTTTAGTTGTTCTTCTGTATTCTGTCTTTGTTATAAGATCCTAAAATCATTGAATTTCTGAACTGAAAGGACCTTAAAGATCATCTAGTTCAACCTCTTTACTTAAAAGTAAACACAGAGGATAGGACATTTGAATTTGGCCAAGATCACATGGTAGTAGAATTGGAGTTAGACGCAGGATACTCTGACTTCTAGTTTGTGCTTATTCCAGTTTATTACATTGCTTCACTAGACCTAAAATTGGTAATAAGGGAGGCTTTATTCTAGTTCTCCTATCTGTTTAAGCACATGGAACAGTGTCTTGTATGTAGTAGATGCTTATTAAATATTGATTGAATGAATAAATGAACTCCCTTACTTTTAATGATAAGACTGTTGTCAAGACATGATTTATGGAGTAGGGCCTGTTGGTGAGAAGTTGTCTTGATTCTTTTCATCTTATTAGTATATAGTCAAGAAAGAGAAGCTCTTCAAAGGTCAGCCCTAAGAAGAAGGTGATGGAAGCTAAAGTAACGAAGGCGAATGATAGTCCATTTATGTAGCATATGTATACTTACAGATCCCCCAAATCAGAGAACATATTGTACGCACAAAAGATGTTTAAAAAGCATAGGTAGACAATTTTGGCTATTTTTGTTCCACAGATTATCTGACTCCAGAAAAAGAACTCGTACAGGAAGATCTTGGCCTGCTGCAATACCACATTTGCGGAGGAGAAGAGGTCGTCTTCCAAGAAGAGCACTCCAGACTCAGAATTCAGAAATTGTAAAAGATGATGAAGGCAAAGAAGATTATCAATTTGATGAACTCAACACAGAGATCCTGAATAGCTTAGCGGATCAGGAGTTACAACTCAATCATCTAAAAAACTCCATTACCAGTTATTTTGGTGCTGCAGGTAGAATAGCATGTGGCGAAAAATACCGAGTTTTGGCTCGTCGGGTGACACTTGATGGAAAGGTGCAGTATCTTGTGGAATGGGAAGGAGCAACTGCATCCTGACTGTAGGACTGAACATTATGTTCACTGCACTCTCATTTCTGTAGGTACAGTTCAAAGCCCTCAAGGAGTCTGGCTTTTAGTATCTTTCTTAAAAAAAAAAAAAAGTCAAAAAAATTCATAAAAGGAGATGATACCAGCCTTAACATGTACCTGTCAATGTTATGGATTTTGTCGTAAAAAGATATCTTTTAAAAATCAGAACAGAGACTTAATTTTTTAAATCTTAAGATTTGTTGAATGTTTCTAGGATAGGATATTAAAAATGATTCAAACCCATGCATGGTGTTAGATAATTTTTCTGAATATTCCATTGAGTCAGTTTTTGTGAGTAGTGGTTATCAGAGCAAACACATCATGTAGATAGCACAAGTATTTGGAGAAACATTGTCTGTTTTGTTACCAAAATGTTGAAAAAAATTTATTTCAATACCTTTTAGATTTCATAAAGTGCAGTGTATATAATGCCTATTGAAAGATTGTAAAATATTGAAAATTTCTTTCAAGCAAAGTGTAAAAAATATATTGAGCCTGTAAATTGCTCTGTGACTAGACTTCATTGTCGTCTTAATATATTCTTTGCATGTACATATGTATACACACAGCTGTGTATATATATGTGTGTGATTATGTGACCTATGCAATACAAATTATGGGAATGGGCAGCTTTGGAGTATATATCCCATAATTCTTTTTTCAGGAATAGTTGCAGTATTTACACAGCAGCATTTCTTCTCAGGCTTTTATTGGGTGCTGTTGCTTGCTATGTATGAAGAGAAATGTGTCAAACAAGTTTAGTATGTTCTGATGAAGGGTGTGAACAACAGTGTTCATGGGCTTTTAGAATGGCTTTTTCACTTTCAGTCCTTGTAACTCAGCTGTTCAGAACCTAAAACAAATTCAAATAATATGAACATTATATTCTACTAGAAGTAACGTTTTCAAGTTTTCATGGCACATTATGATTGTAAATGTCTCTCGGTTTTAACATTAAGTCTCTAGGAGTCCCATGAAGATTCCTGAAATGTCTGTAGTAATTGTTAGTCATGTTTGAATAAGTGTAGTATGAACAAAGTATTTTATTGCACAGGGTTAACAAACAGTAAGTCGCCAGCTGAGGCTACTGCTGTTTTATTACAACATTACCTCTTGTTTTTATAAAATGTACCAAGATTTAAATTGATAATTTTATTTTACATGTAAAAAATTTTTTCTTTTATCACCAGTGTTAGAGTTGTCTTCTGTTTCTTTTTGTTTTGTTTGTTTGTTTTCTTTTTTAGCCAAAGAGTAAACAGAAGAATATTCTTATTTTGGTGGCTATTCATTTTACTCTTAAAAGTAATTAATGGATTTTAGCCTAAAAATTGGGGTGCTGCCACCAAAATGAAAAAAATATGTATAGTGATTACAGAGTGGTAAAAATGTGGGTTAGTACTTATTTATTCCATTAATTACTTATTTGACTGTTTATAAAGAAAGTTGCTTTATTTCTTTAAACATCTTCAAAAGATGACCTTTTCTTGTTACATTGTAGCCAAAAGAAGCAGAGAACTTCCTTGTCCTGCATTTGGTTCCTGGTTGGCCAGGTATAAACGAGCTTTACTAAAGTGCAAATTAAAAACTGTCATTTCTGTTTACCTCCAACAAAACTTGATTTTTCCCCTAGCTATTAATTTAAAGTTGCCTTTCCTGCAGCTGCAATATTTTGAATAACACACAGAGTTTGTGTTGATTTTTGAATGTTTGTTTATATCTAGGGGTAATGGAAAATGTAAATCCCGTGTAACCTTATTCAGTCCCCCTGTATCATATTATTTCATTTTCCCCAAAGTCCTTTAATTCTAACTGAACACCAGCAGTATTTTTAGTAACTCTTTCCTTAACATACTTGGAAGATGATTTATCAAGCTGAACTGTCTTTAGACGTAATTATTGTGAATGTCTGTCTTATTTTATCATGGTGGTTCACATGGCTCTGATGTTCAGTTTGTATTTTTGGAATTGCTTTACTTAGAATTAAAACAGACCAACATTAAATGTGTGTATTTTTTAAAGAGCTAATGAGTTTTGCTTCTGTATTTGCTTGAAAATACACACTGTTGCAGTAGTTGACTGCTTTTAGCCAGGGAGATAAGGATTTTCCAATTCAACTGCTAATATGTTCACTTGTAATTAATCTTTAGAAAACTTGAATTTCATTTTTCTCTTGTCCCCCAGAATATTAATAATTATTGCATGTTCATCTTAAATGGTCTTTAAAAAACAAAACTGCGTTTAGCCAGCTTGCATGCTTCATGTTTGAAGGACAGTGTATCTTCTTTTTACCCTGTTCCCAAACTTAAAAGAAAATTCAGACTTAGCTTTCCAGCTGTTTTCTTTATTGACTTACATAGAAGTATATATGCCAAAAGATGTCAGGGTTCACCTAAAGAGATTTCTTATTTTTCCTAATCAGCTTTGCCCCTTGGCTACAGAAAGAGAAGATGTAGAAATAATATACCTTATTCATTTTTATTATTTATTTTTTATAAATTTTATTATTTTTATTTATTTTATATGAATGGTACTAAATGATAAATATGGATTCTTAGACCTTTAGCCAACCAAACTAGATCAGAATATGAGCTATCAGAGTTATAAATTATAATGTAGGGGTGATGAAATCAGCTAGGTATATATTTTATTACCAGTTGTTTAACAGAAGTGAATTTCACTGGATGTGTGAGAGTTGAGGATCTCGCTCCCCCCTTTTTTACAAGGTATGGCCAAGTATACACGTTTGGTTTTTATCATGTATATATTCAGCAGATTTCTATTATTGGTGTTGGGAGTAGAACTATTTGTTTTGGGCTACTATATCAAGTTTCTACTAGGCACTGTTTTGGTTGGGACATAATCTGACTTGCATAGTTTTAACAGAATGTTTTATAATTTGGTTTTAGAGTCGTTTGAATGAGGATGTGATGGCAAAGGAAGGTGCCCACGCAACTTTGGCAAATAGTAAAAAATACCCTGTTTGTGTGGGGAATTTTTCCTCTTAAATTATATTTGAGTACCTCTATGAATGCATGCTCCCAAAAGCCTCCACTGGTTTTTTTCTATGGCAGTTGATCAGTCATGTTCTTTCTTCAGGAAAATAAACTTGACAAATATAAAGTGATAACTTTATCTGATCATCGATGCTTTCCTAATTGGTAGCAGTTAAGAAACCAGATGTCTGTCTGATACTAATTTGGAAACGGGAGAAGCTGTGAAAGCAAAATGATTGGCTCTCTGGATAACAGGTAGAATGGGAGCAGATACAATGTTTGTAACTTTTAAGTTAATTTCAAAATGTCTTAGAGTAATAAGTAGACCAAAATTTTATGCCGTGTTTATATTTAAAATTAGAATAAGATTGCAAATTAATCAGCTCTTTTTTTTTCTCCCTTCACTTCATCTCTACCCAGCAAAATCCCTCCTTGCTAGCTCTCCATGCATTTTCTCTTTGTTGGTGATGATGAGTATAGAAACTGGATGCTTAGGCATCTTCAGCGAATATAATATCTCATTCAAGAGATTTCCACTGGATTTAAGCAGGCACACAAATGAACAAAACCTTCATAGATGATAAGGAGCACTCTGTTTGTACTTGTTGGATGAAACAAAAATATATCTTTGTCCAAAATCTTTAGCCTACTGTTTCCTGTATTTACTAAAAAATGTTCAATGCCCTTTATTTTTTTCATCCCATAATAACGTATTCTCAGTGGGAGTGACATGTCTAAACCGTCAAATATTGGTTTGTAGGGGGCAGAAAAATCTTAGCTATTACAATGGTTTGTGACCCTCCAAAGCTAAACACTACTAGATACAAATCTTATTTTTTAGTCATTAATTACTTCTATTGCATTTTCTTGGATATCGCACTAGCAGTACTAACATTGAGTTCATGGAAGATACAAAAAATGTGTGCTAGATCAGTGCTACAAAAGGATGGAGAAAAAATCACAATGATTGGAGAACTCGATTGATTGTTTGATCTCAAAGTCGTCTTGCAAGCGGTGATCTGCACATGACTGTTGGCTGTCCTTGTGCACATTGTTTGTTTGATCCTCAGTGCTTTTGTGTATGACTTGGGTTTTGAGAATTAATTAAACCTAGTTTATATTATTCAATTCTACAAAAGTTATTTAACCCATAGTTGTCTAGTGGTAAAAAGAAAGAAATGTTGACACTATCTGAATGAATATCTAGCAGCTACTTAAAAGTAGTTTTCTCATATCAAGCAAGTTAAAAATAAGTTCACCAAAAATAATTTTTCAGAAATTAATTTTTTCCCAAATGTTTTACTTTGGCTGGAAAAATAATATTTTTGGATGATTTTTAAAATTTTGGTTACATTGCTATTGTTATGTATTTATATAAATTGCTGATTTACATATGTAATTTGATACATTGTAATTTATATTAGTAAATAAATTACATTAAAAGTTAAATGCAGTTATAAACTTAAATATTAATAACAGTATCCAACATTTGTAGTATATACTTAGTGATAGATTATATTTAGTGTTATTTTAATAATTGACATTTTAAATATTTTGTCTGTAATACTATTAGTGAAATATAAGATAATTTTTCCTATAAAGAATTTGAGACAATAACAAGCAGTTAAAAGATTTTGTGACAGTTTGGATCCCTTTTGAAAATGTTAAGCCTACTTAGATAATCCTGAAGGTAAATTTTCCTCCTTGACCTGGAACTTCAAGGAGATGAAGCTTATTGCAAAGGGTCTTGGGAGGAAAAGTGAATTGGCTCATCTAAGACTTAAGGAGGCACAGTTTTTATACTTGTAACCCTTTGTCACCAAATCCCTTTCAGAATCCAAGAGCATACCCTAGAATAGGTCCGCTGATTTTTTGTTGTTGTTGTTTTCCATATTGTAATCTTGCTTAGCCCTGCGGGTGCAAATGGTTAACATGCTCACTGAGAGGTTGGAGGTTCAATTCCACCCAGAGTCGACTTGGAAGAAAGGCCTGATGATCTACTTGTGAAAAATCAGCTGTTGAACCCCTATGGAGCACAGTTCTTCTGTGACACACATGGAGTCTCAATGAGTCAGAACAAGAAGGGGGGAAAAAAGC